GTACTGGAATCTAGCAGCATCACAATAACTGCACTTTCGAACTTTCCTCAATTCATGTGTTTGTGGGCTTGGACTTAGACTCGTAACAATTGAACCTAGGATAGTGTTAAAAAAATAAGATTTATCGAAAAATTATTCAATAATATAACTGCGCAAAATATATCAAATATTGTTCAGTACCTTCGGACTCATTCATTGTTATTTGAGCTCTCAAAAACCACTTATCTTGTGGATTCTTTAGCTTGTTCCTGTTCCTAACTTTATCAATATAGGCCTTCTTCTTCGCAGAATCAAGTTCGGCATATTTTCTTTTCATCTTTTGAAGATTTCGTTGCCGATAAACATCTTTGGCTATAATATGAAAATAAGAAGAGTATTGTATATGTTTATCACACACTTATTTATAATAAACAAATAGACATATGATCCATATTATATTGTTTGGAATTTAAAGAAAAATATATATTAATAATGATTTACCTGAAGAAGTACTTGGCATAGATGAACGTCCATACATTTCAATCTGTTTAGTGGATCCTGGAACGAAAAAACAATAAGGTAACTAAATCCATGGTTGATACAAATGTTGCAAGACAAAGCTTTGTTGTTCAAAATTCCACAATACTTACTGAGTAATTAAAGCCTGCCAAGAATTCCAGCGTAGAGAAAACAAAAGGTAATGGGTCAATCTGAAACTTGCTAAAATAACTATTTCTTAGTTATTCAAGGAGAGACTTTTATCCTTATTGCACTAAATTGAAGTAACCTAGCAGCATTTTCATTTTCTATCCTTGATGGAGCTATGAAAAAAAAAAATGCAATTAAAACTTCCTATCTAATGAAATCCAAGTTTTTTAGCTCCGGTAGTGAAATAACATCTGCCATTATATTATCTTTAGCTCCCTCTCTCAGTCTATGCCGTCTTGTGATGAGAAAAGTGCTTGGTTTTATATATTCACAAGAAATATCCGCATAAGCATAGTTTATTTTCATCCCATCAAGCCTAAGGTTTAGCCTTCATTATTGTGGAGCATATATAGTTTATTTTCATTACATGTGAAGAAGCAACATTATGAAAAATTACAGTGAAGAAAAACTTACGGAATTGAGGAGGCTGAAAAATTACCGTGAAGAAAAACTTATGAAAAGAGCCGGGCCGATATCATGGTCGACAGACAGACTTCGCGTAAAGGATATGATCAGATAGATACAAAATTAATAAGAATAAAAAAATTACAACCCAAAAAAATAAGAATAGAACTAAAATAAAATATTATGAAGGACAGAGAAGGGAAGAGTTGAAGAGAAACTGGAAAGGATAGTGAATGGTTGATGAAGAAGAGCAGTACTATTACAAAATTCAATCGTGTATTAATTTTTGAAAATGAAAGTTGTCCACATTTAATAAAAAAATTAATGCACAATGACGTTTGAAATTCATAATATCCTTGGGTTGAATTATTTTGTTTGCTAGAAAAGGATAAGAAGTTGCCCTTTTAAAATCAATAATAACTGATAAGAAGTTGCCATGTTCAAATCAATAGTAATCTATCCACAATTAGGTGCAATTAGGAGAAATACAACATAAAGATATGTTGAGGTCTAGTTTCAATTTAAAGAAAAAAAAAAGGANACTTGCAAAATCTTATTTATGTAGTTGTGACAATACATTTAGTAAAAAAAAATGATATAAATCTTATTTATTTATATTAGGAAATTAATATTAGGATAAAAATTATTAATTAATAAAACAATTGTAATGAAGTTTAAAAAACAATTATGAATTTGATACACATGGAAGAGGAAAAAACGTAGGGGAAGTTTAAAAATGAGTATGGAAGAGGAATAATGAAGTTAGAATATTACATTTATATCCTTATAAAAGATAAAGCTCTAGAGGGTAATGTGGGCATTTCAAAAATTTCAAGAAATGACTCATCCTTTTAGGAGAGTTATAGAATATTACCAAAATCAAATGGTAAACGAATTTGGCAAATTAGATTGATTTCTAAATGCACTAGTGCTTAGAGATTATTGTTCTCAAGAGTCATGATATGCGATAAATCTTGTATTATTTTGTGGTTTAATTTATATATTTGATAGTCGATTTTAGTGTATTATACAAGATTTTTCACATATTTTATCTTGTGAACGGACATACACCAATACTCGTATTTTGTGTTTATTTTGCAGTTTTAATGCTTATTAATGATGTGGCATGGATGAGGTGGCAGTGGAGTAGGAAATGATGTGGAATTAATAATCTCAGCACTTGTACGAGAGAGTTGCTGGAGGGAGATAACTATCAATTTTGTTGGGCTCTCATTTGATTGGTTGACTTGGTAAAAGGAAGTGTGATTGCACGAGAAGACTGAATGGAGAGGAATGGGGATTGACTTAGGGAGTTTCATTTGGAGAAAACTCTTAATGAGGGGGCGTGAGATAGAAATCAAGGAAAAAAAAGATAATTGAATTCATTCATTCTGCTAAGGACTTGGATACGTGAACAAGGACAAAAGAACTTCCATTGCTGCTTTGAATTCAATTAGCCGTGAACTACTTTGAAAAAGGAGTTTGGTTTATTTATTTGCTTTTTTTTTTTATTTTGATTGAACATGGATTATTATTTTTATTTTTATCCTTTAGCTATGTGTAGCTAAATATTTATTCAGTTCTAGGGACGTTGAACTCTCGAATACTATGTTTGATTAATGCAGTTTATTTCGTTTTACTCGTCGTATAAAATTGTTTGTGTTATTCTAGCTTCATGTCATAATGTGTGATTTTTAATTTAGCTTGATCACCTAATTTAGGAATTGCATGTTAATTGCTAGATTTGAGGCTTCGATCCGTAATTGTCGTCGCTCTTATTTCGTTTGTAGCAACTAACAGTCGTGCATTGTTAGGGATAACACAACATAAGTTACATGAACCGTGCTTATGTGTTTGTGGCTTAGATCGGTTTATTTTCCTAGATTTTAATGCGACTAGTGGGTTATATTAGGAGAGCTTATTCAGAGTTATTCGCTAGTTAGAATTAATTGAAGAGCCTATTTCGATTAAGTATAAATTAAGGGAAAATTCGGGTAGTATAAATTAAGGGAAAATTCGGGTAGCAGAGCTTATTGCTATCTAGGACCGGTAGTTTTAGAAGATGAGTGAAATTTGATAAAAGCATTAATTGGGCTAGTTATTCGAGGGTGTGGACCGACCTGGAACCGATTCCATTCTCATATTCACTAGATTATTTATTTATTTTCTATTTCATAATCATCTTTGCATTTTAATCATCCATCTATAGTATTAGTTTAATTTATCATTTTGCTAGTAGTTAGTATTAAATCAAACCCCCTCCATTTTTATTTTAATCTAATTAATATAATAAATTCGCTGTTTATACCACACTCCCTGTGGGATCGACCCTTGCTCGCCACTGCTACTAGTTAGTAGGGGTAAGTTAGGAAATTTATAAATTCAAATTTGCCGTGTAACGATGCGCGGCCAAGTCACAATACTGACTTTCCAAGAGTTGAAATTTAGCAAGATAATAGAAGGAAAATGCATGTCTTTAACAAGTGCATGTTTGTTCAATTAATCTCCAGAAAATTCTCTTAATATCACACAGTTGATGAAGCTTAATCACCGTGTCAAACCATGCATTGTCTGCATACAAGTAGAAAAAAGGATTAAGAAAAAAAAAAAAAAAGTAAAGCGTATTTTACGAACAGTCATCACTCACCAGCCAATACTCGGAAATACAACGGTTAATGTCGAATAAATTTATATGTTTTAATGTCACGATTGTAAAAACCGATCATCATAAGAAAGGTGAATTTTAATTTTTAACCCTTTGCATATTTTAATTTTAATCTTGCGGATCTGCTAACTAAAGGGCTAAATAGAGAGTGGTTGCTAAATCTGTGAGATGAATGAGACTTAAGCCTCTAGAAATGAGTTGATACAATGGAAACCCTACCTTATTGACTGGATATCCCAAGATCTTGGTTCAAAGGGACAACCTAATTGTAAAAAGACTCTATCAGTATGGGATATTATCCATTGTCCATTCCTTAAATATTCATACCCGTAGTGAGTAGGATAAGCATTTGGCTTTTAATGATTATTGTATGGAAAGGTAGTACGGGCAGTAATTAAGAATCACCTACATGAGAGAGAGTTGGGCCGCTTCGAAGAGAATTGCGTGAGACTCAGTTCTTAGACCCTCTTACAGAACCATGCTATGTCCAAGGCCATGAATGGACATAAAAATGAGAATTGGAATATGTTAGGGAGAATCTTGTGTGAAGTATATTTATCGTTTACACAAAAGACAGAACAGTTCAAAGACATCACGTCTACTGGTCAGCTAGTAAAGTTGATGTGCTTTCACAAGCGAACGTTCAAAGGTTAACACCTACCTATCCTATGCAGGTTTCAATTGTTGGACCATAACATTATTTTCAATTTCATTCATGTGTGGGATTGTTACAAACTTAATTTTATTAAGTGTTGAATTAAATGAAGTAATTGATTTATATGGCTTATCTTAGGCCTATAAAAGGAGACTTCTCTTCTTTTGAAAAGGGCACACAAGAAAAGAAAAAAACAAAAAGATCCTCTCTTTTCTATTTTTTATATAGTGTTTTGGTTCCGATATAATTCCAATTCGCCGAATTTAATTCGGTTTTCCGTTGTATCCTGGGAAACAGACGCTCATACGGGACGAATCTGTTTCAAGTACACTATGTTCTCACAGGTCTCAATATTATAGTAAATAGCCATCTTATTTTTATTTTCAAGATAAAGTTTCCTACACTTCTAACATCATTTGATTGTGAATATAAGGAGAAAAATCAAGTAGCACATTCTATTTATCGATTTCGTAACTATATATATAGAGGTGAATACAAATATTACCTTGTATACTTGAATTTAACACGCGAAATTCGGGTAACTATTTTCCAAATTATACACAATAATAAAAAATCAAAAAAAAAAATCCACGAAATTGTATTTATTTATATTTACTATTCGATAGCCAAATGGGAAATTTTAAACATTTTTGCCCAGCAAAATGTTTTTCTATTTACCAAAGTGCCATCAAGTTCTTCCACAAATCACAATATACAACATATAATCAAGCAACAATATATACATAAAGAAAGGATTTCAGATGGATTAAATGAAAAATTAATTAGAGGACTTGCAAAATGCATGAAGTGTATCGTCGAGAGCGCGTCTGTCGTAATCGCCGGTGATAACACAATTGCCAAGCGACCCTTTCAAAAGCACGAGCCTTAATACACCGTCGGCCACCTTTTTATCCAACTGCATTTCCAAAACTAACCTTACCGTCAAATTTCTGTTTTTAAGGGGGGTGTATTTAATTAGGATTTTTAAGGACTTTTTAAGACTTTAGAAATCCTGGTGTATTCAATTTAGATTTGTTAAGACTTTTTAAAACTTTTAAAAATCCTGGGGTATTCAATTGGGATTTTCAAAAGTCTTACAAAATCCTGAGGTATTTAATTTTTTGACATCTAAGATTTATTAAGACTTTTTAAGATTTTGTGGGATTTCTAAACAAAAAACCTTATATGAAATCCCACTTAAAATCCTACCTCCGGACTTGAGATTTCATAGAATTCTTCCAAAATCTGAAAATCCTAAAAAGTCTCAAATCTCGAAAAGTCTTAAAATGTCACTTAAATTCCGAATTGAATACACCCCCCTTAAGTGTACGTTATGACATTTTTCTCTAAAAACGTATTTTACTATTTACCATCATTTAAACGTGATTATTAGTAACTAATTTGCATATTACCGCCATAAGAGACTTAAACATGTCGACGGTCATCGTGTGTGGTGGTATTGTGGGTAGGTTTGCCTGTTTCAGGATCACATGCACCCGCTTTACTAATGCTTCGTCAATCCACCTAAGCCTGTAAGACATATCAACTGCCATGACCTGAAAAGAAAAATGAAAAAAAGAGGTAAAAATCATGTTTCTAGGGGAATAAAAAGTATTTAAACAAATATCAAGGGGTTATTGGGTAAAATTCAAAAGATAAGTGATTTTATTATGATTTTTTTTTTTAGCATACTATGCCAGCTGCAACAGCCTCCCCATGAAGCCACTGACCATATCCAGCACCAGTCCCAATTGCCTGTGAGTGGCCATGGAAATTTAGAACATACAAATTGTGATTTCCAAAACTATTTGAGGGTATTTTGCAATTACCCTAAACCTCAGGAGTTGAATTCCACAATTATGCTTACATGACCAAATGTGTGGCCGAAGTTCAATATGGCTCTCACTCCATTTTCCTTCTCGTCTAAGGACACAATCTCGGCTTTAATTTCGCACGAGCGCTTGATTGCATACGCAAGTGCACTTGGAACCCTAAATATATAAGAAAAAAAGTTGGTTTAACCATCTAACCGTTAGGTTGCCTCACAACAGAATTTGTGATTATATTATTACTCAAAAAGTCAAAATTTGACCTTGCCATGAGTGCTTCCATATTCTTCTCTTGCCACTTGAAAAATCGAACATCTCTTACAAGGCCCAACTAGATGACTTCTGCTAGGCCCGATGCTAAATATCGCTCGGGCAATGAGTTTAAAGTGTCTGTGTCTACAAGCACGCATTTAGGCTGGTAAATTGTCCCGATCAAATTTTTTCCGAGCCCATGGTTGATGGCGGTTTTGCCCCCAACCGAAGAATCTACCTTCAAAATTCAAAAGGCAAAGGACTTGTTAATAGTTAATTACATATTACTTTTGTAGTCGAAACATAATGTTTGTAAAAGTAAAAGTTGGTACTCCCACGACCTGTGACATAGCAGTTGTGGGAATCTGAATGTAATTCACTCCGCGCAAATAAGAAGAAGCCGCGTATCCACACATGTCGCCAATGAGACCACCGCCAAGGGCAATAAACGTGCACCTCCGGTCCATACGCGACTCGATTGCTTTGTCAAACACTTGCATTACGGATTCCTACAAAATTAATTAATTAACGCGTAATTTATATGGCTAGAATCGAAAAAAATTGTGTTCGAAAAGAATTTGTCCCAACGAACGAAATCTCACCATGTTCTTGAATTTCTCCCCATCGGGCAAAAATACAGTTTCGACTTGGATACCGGGGTTTGCTTCTGTTAGAATCCTAATGGTTTTGTTCAGATACAATGGCGCGATTCTGGTGCTAGTGACCACGAGAGCTTGCTTCCCATGAACATGCCTGCGTCAAATAGTACAGTTCGTTTTTTTTTTTTTCGAAACGGCATAATATATTAATAAAGCACATATTTACAAGAGACTAACTAGCCGAATGAAACAGACAAAGGCTGAATTCATAAAGGCATACAAGTCGGGAAGAATGCAACTTAAAAACTATTAAACTAAACACACTCACAAGACTAAAAAAAACTAGAATACTAAATACCCAAAATAGTACAGATTTACAAGTTAAAAAAATAATAAACACTGCTTCTTATATTAAAAGTTAAAACTCACTAATTTTCTAGTTATTCATCGTAAGCAAATGTTCATCATTCTTTCGCTGTACACAACGTTAATCAGTTTTCATCGAGAATCCTGACTTGAAGATTTGTGATATATTTCAGTTTCACACACACACACATTGTACAAACTATACCTTTGAATAATCTCGGGTTGATCGAGAAGGTCCGGCCCAATGTAGACTGGGTAGCTCCGGTCACCCAAATCGACCTCCACAACTGTAGCAACTGCATGGGACGAACAAGTAGGAACCTTGATCAACTTTGGCGCAAAATCTCGATTATTACAAAAACCAAACAACATGCAACGACAAGACTGGGACGAGATGGAGACGGCAGAGGGTAGTGGGGTGTGGTCTTGAGCCATTGATCGGCTAATTTCGGGACACGAGAAGAGAGAGAAAGAGTGCGAGTGGGGATGAGAGAGAAAGGAACGGAAAATGCCATCTGTCAGGCGAAGAGAAGTTGGTGGTGGTGGTGGAACTTGGGTGGCTTTTTTTGGCAGTGCCGAGGATGTACTTTTTTTGGAATAGGTTGGTTCCTATTATATTTGTTATTGAAAAACATTAATGCATGATTACTGGGGAGCTGTTGAGGGTTTGTATTATTCTATGTTTCAGATCTATCTTGTTTTTGGATGGTTCTGTTATTTTACTATCAACTTGTGTTCTTAGTTGTTTATAAGTTTAATTGCCAAGTAATCTAACCGTGTACAGGTTAGACTGACTTAATTACTGTTATCAGATATATTAAGTTAAAATCCATCATGAACGGTTCAGAATAGTTCAGAGTTAGAGCGTACCAAGAAAATGAAGGTCCATTGATATTCACAAAGACAAAATAGGCCCATGCAGGTGCCAACCAAACCTGTTAGTGGCACAAATGGATATACCATTACATGTGTGTTAATGTCAGGATAAAACATAAAAAATGGTCAGGGGCGTATATATATAGCAAAACATTAGCCGCCCAGGAATCTTGTCAATTATTTAATTTAATTAAATAATACTCATCATTTCCATGATTAAGAAAATGACAAAAATAATAATCACCTGCTTTCAAAATTTCTTACAACAGCATACCCAAAAAAAGCCTTAATCATTAACAAATTTTTATGTGAGGCTGCCTAACCGTTAATCGAATTGACCCGTTTTACCTTTGTCACAAATATGCATAGTTATATTTATGAATGTTATACTTTTGTTTATGTTGTTTTTTAGAGTACGACATTTCAATTTGAAGTATGCATATATGTAGAACTATGATTGTCTAACTCTAACCGTATCCTTACTGTAGATCATTATGAACAGCTTTTGTCCAAACCTCATTCAAATATATCATCAACCCACTTGCCCCTAAATTTACAGACTTCCAATTATTGCCATTTTTTAAGTGATAACTCCCCAGAACTCCCTAAATTTACATAGCCTTCCAATTATTGCCATTTTTAAGTGATAACTCCCCAAAATACAGAACAAAACAAATATTACACAAGAATCCAACAAAGTTACACACAAAGGAGTCCAGTCCAAGCCTGTAATAAAACTTACATCAGAACTTGCAAAATGTGGTATCTTCAAGTGCCGGGCGTAATCGCCCATGAAAACACAATTGCCAAGCGGGCCTTTCAAAAGGATGAGCCTTAGCAGGCCATCTGCTACCTTTTTATCCACCTGCATTCCAAAAATAAATCATATGATTATAAGAAAATAATAATAATAATAATAATAATAATAATAAAGAAAAAACAATGGCTTATTAAATCGCTTCATTAAGAAACTTCATTAAGAAACACACACACATATATTAAATTGCTTATAAGAATGTTCCATGGTTTACTCATGCAACACATCATTCTAATCACTCAAATTTGAATACAGAACATTGCGCATTCGAATACATCAAGCCACAGTCAACTTGTGATTAAAAAGGTATCTACATATTGAGAACTGTTGCTCACATGACCGAACGTGTGACCTAAATGTTGCTCTCAGTCCACTCTCCTTCTCATCCAAGGACACAACCTCAATTTTATTTTCATACGAGCGCTTTATAGCATATGAAAATACATTCGGGTCCCTACAATGAGCACAGCCTTTAAGAGTTCAAACTTCAGATCAAATCCCATAAGAATAAAAACAGATAATCATGGACCACCAATAATAGCTTCTAAAGTAGAAGCATGGTTGTTTCTTTTATCACATGTGCAGTCGATGAATTTTTGGAATGAATATTGGCAAAGAAAATTAATAAATTAACCGATTCTCAAAATAAATACATGATATCCAATAACTAACATGAACACGCATACAATTTACACACACCTTGCCAGAAGCGCGTCCATATTCTTTTCTTGCCACTCAAAATATTCGGCATCTCTAATCAGTCCATACTTGATGAGCTCTGCAAGTCCGGAGGCCGATTCCCGATCAGGCAATATGTTCAACGCGTCAGTGTCTATGAGCACACACTGTGGTTGGTAGAATGCTCCAATTAAATTTTTACCAAGCCGATGGTTTATACCATTTTTTACCGCCGGCTGAAGAATCTACCTGAATGCAAAAAAATGTATGAACAATCAACAATTAAAATACAATTACACAAAATACATGTATAATATTTTTGGATAACCTTATAATTCAAAAAAACTTTGCCATGACAGTTGTGGGGATCTGAATAAAAATCACTCCTCGTAAATAAGAAGCAGGGACATATCCACACATGTCACCAATGACCCAGCCACCAAGGGCAACAACCGTACAGCGCCTGTTCATACGTGAATCGATTGTTTTACCAAACATTTTCATTAAAGTTTACTGGCAAAACATAAAATGGCACCATAATTCACGTGAATCTTGGAATTATATAATTATCGTCACTTCGTCAGCTGACAATGTCCATAACAGAGCTTCAGAGTGTTAACCATTTTCTTGAGTTTCTCTCCAACAGGCAGAATCACGCTCTCGACTTTGATGTTAGGATTTCTTTCTATTAAGGACCAAATAGTTTTGTCTAGATACAAAGGAGCTACCGTGGAGTTGGTGACCACAAGGACTTGCTTCCCATGGACATGCCTAAAATACATCATACAAGGTAGTTGTATGAAAAACCGGGTTGTGAAAGCAAAAGAAGAATAACCGGAGTCACATCTCATGTGAAGTCAGAGAAAAAAATAAAAAACATAAAGGAGATGAGTGCGGAATCACACTCTCAGTGACAAACAAAAGAAACAGAAAAGAGTTTGTAGACATTGAAATTTTGGTGGATGAATGAAATCAAAATATTTACCCATAATGCCATAATCCAAGGAAAACTTACCTGAATTTTAGTTTATGTGCATATATTTCAATACAGATAACTAGCTGAAATGTTGAATGCTGCAAGCAGTCTATAACTACTAAACCACATTGACAAAAAATGTATGTTGCTGTTTAAGAGAAGTACACTGTATAAATTAAATATAATTTTACCAGGAAATATGATGTATTAAAAAGAAACAAATTGAAAAACCCGATAAGCGAGCCACCACATGGCTATGGTTACGAATTAGGTAATGGTTCACACAGCTTGCATTTGTGGATTTAGCTACAAAAAGAAGACTAAGTGCTCATTTGCAGAGAATTTTCAACATACTCACTTTAAGGCCCTTTAGCAAACTAAACCAAATAGTTCAAACACAATCAAACACTTACAGAGGTTCATCGAATGCCTATCCACAATGTCCCATAATCCCATACACCCATAAGCTAATCAATTAACCTTAACCCACACGATTACCAACCTAGAACACAACTGGAGTCTGGAACAAAGTGAACCCAGCAAACTAACGAACACACAACACAAAATGAAAAGCTGTAAAATAGAAAGAAAACCGAATAAAGTAAACCCAATTAAGGAATAAGCTAAATTTACCTCTGATCAATCTCTGGCTGGCTGAGAAGACCCAACCCGATGTAAATCGGGTATCTCCGTTTTCCCAAATCGACGTCCACAACTGCAGCAGAAGAAATAGTGGTCTGATCATTCAGAACAGCAGCAGACGTGGCCGAGCGTTCTCCATCAGCCCTAATCTGCCATTGTTAGGCGATGAATCGAAGATAACGGGACAGGTGAGCGAAGGTGCGAGTGACGTGGGGAGAGTTTGTTGGGGATTAGGGAAGGTGGGGAGGGAGCGAGCCGTGCGGTTGGGGGCCTTGGGGCGGAGATAGGAGGAAGTAGCTGCCATAGGCCCATAGGCGGCGGCGGCGCGCGTCGGAGATAATTGGTGGGGGTAAATGAATTTCAGCCGGTGAGAGCGAGTGTTGTGGAGGGAGTTTTTGAGTTTTTGGTGAAAAGTAGGTGATTACATTGTCTATTGTTTTCTCTTTTTCATTTTTGCCATCCACGGGATATAAAATGTGGAAGAATAATATAATCTCACGTGCATTATGATCTAAATTGAAATCATTAAAATACATAGCAACATTGTTGAATCATAAAAAGTTCGGTAACAATCATAAATTATTAAAAACCTCCTTGTACACAACATTATGAGTTTGATTATTTGGTAACTTCTCATTATCACAAACATATTTTCAACTCCCTTCTATTATTTACACGCAAAGCAGCAACATATAATTGGCCGTGACTAAAAACGGGTTTATTCAGGAAAAGACCAACGTGCGATAAAAAAAGAGTTTTTAAAAAAAGAGTTTTTAAAAATTGAAAAGTCAAGTCAATCAATTCAGATGAATTAATGGTCAAAGAATATCCGCTCCTTGAAATAAAGACGTGTGCTATCATTAACCAAATATCCGGTTATTGATATAGAGTGGTTACCAAAAAATAGAACGCGATAAGGACGCTTCATGGAAATATCAATAGGATAAGGTCATAACAGATCGCTATACATTTTAACGATAAAAGCTCATATGGAATGATTTAATTAGATGTGTGAAAATGACATAATTAATGAGAAGTGTGAAAATGACATAGTTAAAATGACAAAAACTTACCGGCTTTGAAAAATATTTAATGCAAATCCGACATTGACCATAAGTTGACCTACTATTTTAGATAAATGTTAATTCTTATTATATAAGTATAGATTATTAATTATAGGCTCAAAATTCACCCACAAACTACATCTTTCAGCTTTTGTACCAAAACATAGCCTAATACTACAAACAATATATGGCCTAATAAAACAACTAATGTAGGGCCGCAAATGAACCGAGCAGCTCGCGAACACTCGAGTCAAAGTTCGGCTCGAACTCAAGTTTGACCGAACTCGAGCCCAACTCAAGCGGTTTGAGTATGTTATCGTGTCCATCTCGAGTATATGTTTTGGAAGGTCGAGCCGCACGAGCAGATCGAGACATGTAGTAAATTACAAAATACCCCTTATATATAAATATTAGTATAATATTTTATATATGTACTTGATGGTAATTCTACTTGAAACTTAAGTCGAACGCGAGCCGAACTCAAGCAATCTTTCGAGCATTTTAATTTCAATCGTCTCGAGCCAAGCTCGAGCGATTGTCTTCTTTTGTCGAGTCGATCTCGAGCTCGAATAGGTAAAAAGAAAATCAATCTTGCCCGATAAGTCCAATGATCGACTCAACTCGGCTCGTTAAGAAATATCCGACTTACTCCTAGTCATGGTTTGGACAAAAATACTAGCTTAAACGAGCAATTATTTAATGCCTCTTTAAATAGTTATTACTTTTTATTTATTCTATTTTTTGTAAACAAACTGTATTTAAAATAAAATCATAATCTACATTAACTATTTATAAATGAGTTAAAAAAATAAAATTAAAAATAAATGACAAAAATAGACTTAAAAATAGTATAATTGTAATTCAAAATAAATCTATATCTATATAAAAAGAATTAACATTTATCAAAAATAGCAGCAAAAAAGTCAATGAGCATTTAATGCATACTTTATTTGGAAATTTTTTAAATATATGCATTAATTGCTTTAATATACACATTTCCAAATTAAATATGACCAAAAAGATTCTTTCCTTAAATAATTTTATTAACATATGTAATAATTTTATTGATATCCATTATAATAAACTATAATTTGATTTTTCGTGATTGATGTTGATAATATTTTGGTCAACATAAACATGAAAACAACTTTTAAGTCTTAACCATATTATTATTATTTTTTCACAAATGTTGACTTTCATCCTAAAATATTTATAAACAATGGTAACATTTTAAGTAATTCTCCCTCTAACTAATTAGCCGAAATCAAGTTGATGAATTAATATTTTTCGATAGTATTTTTTAACCTTTATTTAATTATATAAACAAATAATTTTTTAAATTAAAATAATTTACCATTTAAGAGATAATGATCACATCGTTAAATAATTATTAATGGCTAAATAATAAAATTAAAATATATTAACTATTCTTTACATTTTCAACATTTGATTTATTTGTATATTATTGCCAACCATGATAATTTTATCATTTTTTTTTATTTGTTTCCATAATAAATTTATTGTAAAATATATATTTATATTGCATAGTATGTTAAATAAACTAATAAAGCCTTAGGATGCAAATTAGAAAAAATCTCTTGATTATGTAAGGTTTATTATTTGATAATTTGCTAAATCAATTTTTTTTAATTATTATGAGAAAATTAAATTCTAAAAAACATGTGTGGGTATTTTGTAAACATTTATAGAAATTTTTTTATTTTAAACTCATTATATAAACTAAGAAGAAGAAGAAGACTACTTGTATAACCTTTATAAATAATAATAATGACATTATATGACAACAAATATTATAATAAAATAATAATTGACTATTAAATAAATGGTGAACAAGAATAAACATAATTTTTTTTTTCTTATATCGATGGATAAATATATGTTGCAGAATCAAATTTATATCAATATAACGTGTTAGCAGAATGATATATTAATAACATGTCAACGTTATGACTAAAATAAATATCACTGATTGAAAGAAATGAAAAATTAATGATCCAACCCTATTATTTTTTGCCAAAATCGTACAAGCCATATAGATGACTCAATTAATATATGTGCCCCGTGCATCGCACGGGCTATGCACTGGTACTTTGTAAAATAAATACAGATTTCAAAGTGAACCATATAATTTTCTCATGTTTCAAGTTGAGCTCGGGCTTAGTGACCCAAAAACTTGGGCCTGTGTGCTTCGGGCTTACTGTGCAGACATATGACCTGGGCACAAGCCCAATAAACCACAGATATAAAACCTCTTTACCTAGGGTTTGTTTTACCAGTCAAAACAATTCATCATTTTCTGCTCTCGAAAAAGCTTTGGAGGCCGCAACAATGGTGAAGGGGAGGCAAGGCGAGCGCGTCAGACTATATGTCCGTGGTACAATCCTCGGATACAAAAGGTACAATCACACAACCAATTTTCTTCACTGTACCGTGTTTGGCTGCTGCTGTTAGGTTGAACAGTATTTTTCCTTTTGTTTGTGTTTCTTTAGGTCGAAGTCGAATCAGTACCCAAACACGTCGCTGATACAGATTGAGGGGGTGAACACGCAGGAGGAGGTGTCGTGGTACCTCGGGAAGCGAATGGCGTACATTTACAAGGCGAAGGTGAAGAAGAATGGGTCCCACTACCGCTGCATATGGGGGAAGGTCACGCGCCCACACGGCAACAGCGGCGTGGTTCGAGCCAAGTTCAAGTCCAATCTGCCCCCAAAATCCATGGTATGCAGATTTTCATCCAAATCTACATGTTTGTTCTGTTTCCGTTTGCTTGTGTTTTTGTGTTTGTGGATTTGAATATGTGTGAATGATGCTGTCGGGAATGGTATTGAGTTGCATCTGATGGTGGTTCGATTTATTGAATGGATGTTGGTTGTTGGGTTTGTACATGCATTTCTATTGTTTATTCGCAGTTGTGTGAACTGTGAGATTGAGCTCATTTATGTGGATTTATGAATTTGAATGAGTCGGATGACGTTGCTGAGAATGGTATTGAGGTATTGAGGTGTATTTTGTGGTGTTTCAATTTATTGAACTAGTATGGTGAGAATGGATGTTGGTGATGGGGTTGTATAGGCATTTCTGTTGTGTATTCACTGTTGTGTGAATTGTGTATATTTGAGCTTATCAAAGTGGATTTGTGGATTGAATGAGTCGAATGACGTTGATGAGAATTGTATTGAGGTGCATTTTGTGGTACTTCGATTTGTTGAACTGGGTATGGTGAGAATGAATGTTGGTGATGGGTTTGTATACGCTTTTCTATCATTTATTCTCGGTTGTATGAACTGTATATTTGAGCTCATCAAAGTGGATTTGTGGAATTGAATGAGTCAATGATGTTGATGTGCATTTTGTGGTAATGTGATTTATTGAGCCGAGTATGGTGAGAATGGATGTTGGTGTTGGGTTTGGTTTGTTTAAGCAATTATACCGTTTATTCACAGTTGTGTTGTGAAGTGTATGTTTGTGTTCATCTATATTCTGCTGGCATTTATGCTTGCTCTCGTGTGTCTTAACGTGTGTGTGTATGTTTGAATTGAATGTAGTTGATAGCTTTGTAAGAAGTTTATGTTGAACTGACAGAAGAAAAATGCACGCATTCACCTGTTTAGACAAATTAATATCTGGTTTGTTTCGGTGGATTTTGCAACTTTGCAGTAGTTGTTTACTAATGATTTCTATTAATGTTCTGTGGTACAGGGAGATAGAGTAAGGGTGTTCATGTACCCGAGCCACATTTGAGGTAAACTGTAACACTCTTTTGATTAAGTACACACTCTGTGTTTCAGTGTTACACAGTCACTTGTTAGCCATCTTGCATGAAATGTGTACTCTATGTATGTCTTTGTGGTTTGTCAGTGAAAAAACAAGCAATTTACTGTATGTGCTGCATAGGTCTATCGCATGTGCTAGGCTAGTTATGAAGGATGCCATGGAGCTTTTCTTTTTTTATGTGTATCTTAAAATACCAAATTGTCCCCTTGAATTTGAAATTTTTTCTATTTTACAAATTGCATCATATGGGGATATTGCTTTAATATTTGTCTCAAAGATTAGTCTATGTAGTGTTGCTTTAGTTATAGATCTTAGTTTATGAGCTCTGCTCCCTCCTTGTTTCTTCTTTAGAAAAAGATAATTTTTCACCTTAAACTGAATGTAGTAGTTATTCACATCCTTTCCTCTTATCATGTGTTCCCATGGTGTATTACTATATAATACAGTTTTTGGTATATTGTGCTTTTATGTGTCATAAGGCTGATTAAGGCTGTCGATATATGCATGATTTCAAACTGAAACATCATACTTTAAAAAACTACATAAACAAAAATTTGACATTTCACATAACACAATTATGCATTTTGTAACAAAAAGTACTACGGGTCGACCCACATCATACAAGAATTTATGTTTTCGAGTTGGGTTTTTCTGAATTTTCTTCTGGTACTTTGCAGTGATTGAGATCTGGTTGATCAAGTTTGGAGTACCAGGCACCGGCTCTTGAGGATTAAAATATATTTTTGACTCGAGAATTTTCTTGGAACATTGTTAGCTTTTATTTCTGGTTCTTTTTTAAAAAAATCCCCTGATATAACTATATGTTGTTGGAGATGGTTTGTAAGTTTCGACTTTGTTTTAATATTTTCTATTGTGATCGTTTATGTGTGATGATTAATAATATTTATGAGATTTTAGTTATTTTTATT